TATTTTACTTTTGGGTTTGACTCTGGCCCCTACTTTTAAATGTACCAGCATCTTCATGGGTGTGTTCTTTGGTTTTGAGGTAGATTATTTGCTCAGATGGTTACGGTGCTGAGTACCATAGCTACAGTCCCCAATGGGGCATTTTTGAACTTGATAGTAGTTTTCAGACTTGTAGAGGCTCTTCATCCACTCGGGTTGGTTGTATCAAAGATGGACATTAAAATGGAGGTCCTTACCTTAGATTGATGTACGGTTCTAAAACCGTTTTTGTACCTTCCAATTTGGTTTGTTTGTCTATTTGGCTTTATATTGGAGAACAGACACAAAATGTTGATTATATGAGTGCTATTGTATAAAATTGGTTTGGAAAGGAGTTGGGGCTTCCTTCAAGAGGGTATTGAGCTAGTACAGGAACAAAATAGAAAAACGAAGGACAGGACCAGAGTAAAGGATGCATTATGTAGTCCCACTGATCTAGTTAAAACTGGCGTGCGTGGGCTGCTTGTTGCCCTGAGATATCACGAGTACGTGTTGACCTTTTATCAGCACACTATCCATTAGCTGGCTTTTTAAATACATGTACGATGGCAACCTCGTGACGCGCACCGGTATTTCAGGTTCTAGGCTTCAGTAAAGAGGCTGTCTCTGTCAGACGGTTAAGTACAGTTGAACCTGCTCTAAAGGCCACGTGTTATAAGACAATCACTGTACAGACGGCCACTTTCCCATTTCCTTCCTTGTGAATTAAAGTATTTAAAAAAAACACGTTTAATGACACTGTGTAAGACGGCCTTGTGTATAATATGGCCGCTTTTCTCCTCGACCAAGGACGGCCGTCTTAGACAGCTTCGAATGTAGTATGTGCGTGTCTCATGCAAGGAGCTTAGAACTAACTGTAGGCTAAACTCCTTGGTCTCATGATACATTATGCTGGCGTAAACAAAGCAACATTTTGGCTATTGTAGCAGCAAGAGGGTGGGGATTATGCTGCTGGTAGATCCTACTTCTTTTCTTTTTATCTGTCATTCTATCCTACTTCTTTTCTTTTTATCTTTCTTTTGATCCTACTTTTGTTCTTTTTGTCTGTCTGATATCTGTCTGATGACTGTCTTGTCTTTTCCCTTCGCTGGATGACCGTTATCGCGTCGCGTGCATGCTTCTCTGTACTCCATAATCAATAATTATTTATAGAGGCAACAGCCATCCATGTCTTGGTGGCGTTTTAGCCTCTATACTCCTACCTATGTACCTGAGAGTATAGTACGTGTAATAATGATTATGGGAAATCACAGACCGCCGATAGGTGACTTTTAATGGATGTTATCTGGTCGAGCGGACCAGCTGTGTTTATTGCTCTCGTAGATTTATTATTATTATTATTATTAATTATTATTATTATTATTATTATTATTATTAATATTATTATTATGATGGTAATGGTAATAAATAAAACCCCTTTTTTGTTAGAGACGATGGATGGACCGTGCTGTGCGTCGCATGAATGTGTTTGTTTTCATATCGTCGCCTCAAACCCAAAACTATTTTGTCCAAAAGTGCCGTTTTATTTAAGTATACTTTAGACAAAAAAGTTCTGAGGCGGCGATGTATCATAAGGCTAGTACCGCACTACGACATTCTTGTCTCGGACAGGACTGTCCTGTCCCACTGTCTATTTTTTGCGCGTCAAAACAGATACCGCACTAGGACAGGACTGATCCGCCTTTTTTGTTGTGGCTCACGGCGGGGTTAAAAATGCATTAAAAAAATTCTTAAATATTAAAAAATAAGATTTTCGTGATCAGCGACCCAAAATTTGCCAAAGTCACGTGGGGAACGCAATTTAATGCCCAATTACGAAGTTAAATTATAT